ATGTCATCTTCACTGGGGACTTTGGCCAATTGAAACCTGTGCAATCTCATGCAGGTTTTAGCTACGAGTTAGTGCAAACGTTGGTGAAGAGAACAACTGATTCTGCATTAGGCCAAAGTGCTTTACACGGCACTTTCTTATGGCGCAAAGTCAATAAAGTTGTTCATTTGAAACACGTGCAAAACACGATCCCGTCTTTATAGATCTTTTATCTCAAATACGTTGAGGAGAAAAAAGATTACTACAAAGCCTTCATATGAATAATCCAGTCGCTTTAGAGAACTTGTGTCACGCACCAATAGTAGTAGGTCAAAAATGTATTAGAGACATTTTAAATTGCAAGAAAACTAAACAATTTGCAGAAGACAAAGGTTTAGTATATGAAGAATATAAGTCTGTTGATAAAGTAAATAAATTGTCGCTCACAGGAGATGTACATCAGGAAATTTACTTGTATCTTAGGCGTCTTATTTTCAATCGTAAGCTATGTCAAGCCATATCAAGCCAACAAAGGCAGATAAGTGACACTAAGGCCAAGATAAAGCTGTCGGAAATCATGTATTCTAAGACTAAGATTATGGTCACAAGACCGAAAAGCCATTATAAGTGGTTGAGAAAGACTAAGATGAATTTGTTCTGAAAAATGACTAATAAGACAAGTAAGACTAGAAAGCAATTTCGAATGCATTGTGATCAATAAATTTATTAACATAGAATGAGTCAAAAGAATCAAGAGAATTAGCACAGTTGATATCTTTTCCTATCAAAGCTCCATCAAAAACAGGCATCATATGAGCCGCTTGCATGATGCAGTCTGTATGGATAACCTGAAGTGTAGGTGAGCCATCCTCGTTATAATCTGGACAAGGCAAAACACTATCAGTATCAACACAGTTCCTTTATTGTCAGTCAGGCATTCTAAAAAATATGTGTCCATAAAAATGATTCAAAAATCAAAAATAATTGCACTGTAAATGAATGTTCTGCTGAAGAAAAAGAAACTGGAGCCACCGGTCCACCACCTAGTCCAAATCCGACGGTTCCATGGCCTTACCAATAGACTGGTTGTGTTGGACCACCTGGTCAAACGAGGGAGGGAGAGGAGTAGTTCCAATTTGGAACAAGTGAGTCCCAGGCAGCGTGTGGTAGGTGTAGCTGTAGTGAAGACGATGGACAAAAGATAAGTGTACCCAAGTGAATGGGACAGCAATGAACATGGGCAACGCAAAGGGATGAACCTTCTCCAGCTCAAAAACTACCCACCCACGCTCCAACCAGGCGAGACGAGCAACCAATGTTTTGATAGTATATGATGGTAGATTGATGTCATGAAGATGGACCTGTTGCCCTATTTGAACCGGCCGCTGGGGCTTTGCTGATATCAGCAGTGGCACGTGGTAGTCAACGGATCGGCGATGGAAGTGGATAGGAAGTGGTGACATCAGAAATGGTGGGGGAGCAAACAAGATGAGGAGGAGGAGGCTGGAGGTGACAAAGAGGTGGATTAGAATGGGGATCCAGAAACGACCGTTGGCTGAGAATAAAAACGAGAGTAAGGGGCCTATGGTGGGGCTAGGCAAAGGAAGGGGAGTAAGGGAAACGATGAAGGCGAGGGCGCAATACAATGTGTAGCCAGTAGTGACACAAAAACTTCCCAAAATGCCGAAACACGGCACCCCCCCGAATGGAAAGCAAAGGTGAGCGCGACTAGACTGCCTAATAGAGGTGGTGCTGATCAGCCACAAGATTGAATAAGGCAATATTAATTACTATTCCACGTGGCACTGTGCCTGTGTGGCGCAAAGGCGAGTCTTTTGAATATTCGCTTCGTTATTGACACCTGTCCATGCTACCAACCAACTTTGGTGCATGACACCGAGCTGGACCTTTTCGCCGCGTTACACGGATCACTTCACAATGCATCCCACCAACACCACTTTCATCACTTGGTGCGTGGAAATATATGGTTGCA